TTGGTCTGTATCTCGAGACCCTAGTCACCCAGCTATATGAAAAGTGCCCAATCTTAAAGCATTCATGAACAGCTTTCATTTGATACCCATACTGAACAAATATACCCAAGGTTACCCAGGTCCACGTTTTGGTCTATATCTCGAGACCCTAGTCACCCAGCTATATGAAAAGTGCTCAATCTTAAAGCATTCATGAACGGCTTTCATTTGATACCCATATTGAACAAATACACCCAAGGTTACCCAGGTCCACATTTTGGTCTATATCTCGAGACCCTAGTCACCCAGCTATATGAAAATTGCTCTATCTTAAAGCACTCATGAACAGCTTTAATTTGATACCCATATTAAACAAATACATCCTAAGGTTACCCGGGTCCACGTTTTGGGGCCACGCCCCCTTAATATATCAAAATATTTTTTACCCTGTGACCATCCCTGGAAGATATCCAGTGCGTGTGTAAAATTTGGTTACGATCGGCTTATTCGTTTAGGAGCCAAGTGTGTCTATAGGTACATACATAATTTGAATTTTATATATATATAGATATCTATAAAATGAATAATTTTGTGGTAGCTTTGGGACTATTTAACAATATAATAAATTTGCAACAGAAAAGGAGAATGCTCCATCCTGGCATCTATAAAAGAATCCATTTGCTCTTCTGACCCTACGAAATAATATATATCCATCGAATTGCATATATACTTATCTGAATGCAAAAATCAAATAAAATAATATACTTACATCTTTCTGAATATTTTCTTTTTTGTGCCATAGCAATGATAAAAATTATTTAAAACATCAAAAAATCGTTGTTCGTTTAATCGCTCGCTCAAATATATTTGGCTGTTCAATTTAGGTTGAAATGTATGCTCGCAGAAAATCTAAATTGTTCCTATTCACTGCGTTACCGACACTTTCCAGTGATTTAGGATTTTTCTCTACTTAGGGAGCAATTTAGACGTACTCGCACACAGCCTTAGTGATATTTCAGCCAAATCAGTGTTGTAGAGATGACATGTAAACAAACCGACTAACGTTTTTACAGGAAATAGTGCTTTTTGCGTTCCCGTGCACTTCTGCATCTGTTCTACTTTTATTCTCACTTGAGAGAGTAAAATTGTAGTCTGACAGTTCCACAGGTTTTAGTCCGAGGTTCAAAGGAACATACATACGAATAATTTGGCAATTATTCGTATGCAGAATGGTTGCATTTTTTGGTTTATTCGAGTAGTTTATGTTTTTTGTTAATACTATATTTAGTGGGCGTGCTGCTATTCGGGGAAGAGAAAGGTTCACAGCAGGTTCACGTGCAAAGTACATACACTCATCCATATGTACATTGTGTATATCTGCGTGAGTAGATAGATATGTACATATGTACAGTCGTTGACCGGTAACTAGAATTCGCTTTTTGCCAAGGCTCGTTTGGCACAATTCAGTTTTTGTGCAATCTCCGAGGCAGGTTGCGTACATATGTCCATAGGTATGTATGCATTAATGTATGCTTATTCATTCGTACATACAAACAAAGTGGGCCGGTCCTATTAATGTGCCTCGGTTTTGGCACAAGTGTATGCATCACTCTGTTGGCTGTTGGTGTGTGTTCACTTACATACATACCTGTCCAAATTAGAAAGTAAAACTGTTTGAGCTACAGATCGATAAGCGAAGAAAGCTTGTCAGTCAGCATACATACATATATGGGATGAAAGGAATATGGCACAAAAACTCACATACATATGAACATGTGTACTTCCATATGTACATATGTATTTACGCATTTACTTATTCTAAGCACTTTTTGCTCTTTGATACTTTATCCACCATACCGAGTCTTCTGGACTCTTTTTGGAAGAAGACTCACGGAATTTCATTGAAAATTACGGAAGTAGCATAAATGTTTTAAAGGGAGCAGGTATTACTGGAATCTTCGAAATTTAAATAGTTTTCAGTGTTGAAAAGTCCCCATATCTGCGCAACGATCAAGCTACGCCACTACAGTAGTTTCATACTTTATATACGAGTATCGTGGTCGTAATTAGCGTTTTGGATATGAGAATCCTTCAACTTATTTGTAAAATGCGTTTTTTTCATTGTTAGACGTACCTACATTACTTAAATGGGAAGAAATAACTCCACCAAAAAATTCAGCCTTTAGGTTCCGCGGGGCTCGAGTTTACTTTTTTTTATTAACGACTAATAAAAGCTTGTCTTTAAAAGTTTTTGCTTTAATTACATACGACCTTTTTATGTATGTATGTTACCGCATATCTTTGGACCACGTGACTACTAATTTGGTTAAGTTCCCATCTTTGGATCACGAAGAATTTAACGGTATACCTAACTTTTTTTTTATAAGCATTGGAGTCGGTTGCTACTGCTAACGGCATGAAATGAAACAGATTATTTGAATATTCAGTGTTTAATTGGAACAGACACATTAGCACATACACTGTACGTAAGTACGTAAGTGTGTATGTATGAAACATGATACATATGTATGTCAATAAAACAATATAATGTAAATGTACATGGCAACTAGAATAAATAATAAATGTATAAGGAAAAACTCTAAAGCTAGTGTGAAGAGTACGAGAGGATTCGCGACGCTGTAGGCAATTAATATAAACATTTCGAAGAAGCTTAACTTTTAGCAACTGTTTACGTCATATCTATAGTTTTCTATCTATATATGTAGTTGGTTAGTAGACGATTATGCAAGCAGCGCACGAAGGGTTCCTCTGGACTAATGTGCTCATTTCAATTACTCCTGGATAAAGAGTGACAATTGCTTGCTGCGAGAGCTTTCAAATCGGTTTGGTGTTTTAATGTCCATCAATGCAATTAATCCAATCGACAGAATGCCAACTAGGAAAAGTGTTACTAATATGCCAGCCCAAATGGGTGCAGTGGTAAATCCAACACAATCGTAAACGTCGCCAAAGCGCGGTACTCCATTCAACCAGGGCTGGACCTAAGCATGTACATACATATATGAAAACAAAGAGACCGTTAAATATATAGAAATTTGCATTATCAGTGTATTGCTAGCTACCTGAAAGTCACTTATGGTAAGACTGTCGCTCTCGTTGCCAAATTGTAAATTACGCGAGGAGCAGCGGTACGAGAAGCCAATAGGTGCCGAAGGAATGCTGTAGAGCGTACCCACAACAGGCAAAACCGATTTGTATTCATTGTACTCAACTTCAACGGCCTTCATGTACCAATAACCACGACTCAATGTAAAGTTGAAGCGCAAGAATAATTTCTGTGTATCCACCGAGAAAATAATGTTGAGACGCCCGTAGCCCTTTCCCCTTTGATCATCGAAGGTGACATCCTTGTTGTGCGACACAAGCTTAGTGTTGTTGAGCTTGCCGGCGATGTTTATTATCGGAGCAGAGGTTACATATAATACAGCCTTATGACCTGAGTAATTAAGAGGGAGATGTGAATATTACTTAAATGTTAAGCGACAATATACCGGCCGAATAAGTGATACATATGTACATATGTATGTGGGTGGTTGAGATGCGAAAGCTATTGTGTGCAAGCTAAATAAAAACTTAAAATAAGACTGAGAACCGTTGCATAAAACGTTTTGTTAAAGAAGCATACCTAACAATAAATACTAAATGGTAGTTGCATTCAACGGTTTATCTGTTAAACCAATGAACTTACAGTAATGAATGAAGTAACGAAAATGAACGCTTGGACCAAAATTCTCAACAATACTCTTCATTTCGTACCCATATTGCGATCTTTTAGATAAATTGTATATGATCGAAAATAAGTGGCAACCCTACACTATTATCCTAAGGGATAACACTTTGTATACAAGGAAGGCATATGAAATGTATGATGAAACAAAAACACCTTTTTATTAAGCTTGTAAATTTTAAATTTTGTTTTTGTGTTTCATCATACATTTCATAATTAATAAGAGCTTGTGTATATCGTTTCCCTCCTTCGGAAAAACAAAAAGGAAAGCATTGTTTAAGAACCTTCTCTTGGTGCACATCAATAGTAATATTTTACCTTTTTTTCTAAACAAAAAATTCAATAAATATGCGATTCAAAATAGGTGGCAACCCCACTAAAAATATGTTTGAATTAGGGGTTTTTAAAATACCTTCCATTTGATACACATGCTATGATGTTTGAATTAATTTGTAATTAATTTCGAATAGGTGGCAGCTTTATACGAGTCTTGGAATGGGTTACTCGCATAACCTCAAAACTCAAAACATTGTCTGTGTACAAAATTCATCAAATTCTTTAGAGCGTTTCCGAGAACCCTATGGCTATATATACACATATGCAAGAATTCATCTTTTAATGAAATACGATTTAGGAGGTGGTATGGAAAAAAACCGAGTGGGCTTGAGCTCATTTGCTCTCCTGCCAGATTGTCAGGCCACTTGCTCAATTTGGTGAATACCACTATTGATTTTCTTTTCGTGTGTAAAATTGACTGTCGCACGGTGTAATAAGTAAATAAAGATTTTAATGTTCTCACCAACTGCTACGTAAATAAAGGTTTTGTCTTCTTCCTCAGCGGTTGGCGTTTGAGAGGTCGTTGTGGCCCCCCGCTCCTCCTCTGTGCGTTCGTCACGATCTTTGGCGTCCCTTTTGGCAATATAATGTGTGTCCTCCTCCCGACTGGCTAAAATGCCCAGTACCTCGCCTTCACCGTAAATGGCGACAGCGTCATCGTATCCAGATATGAGTACTTGATCTTCCTCCTCGGCAGATCCGGTTAGATTGATGACCTTCGGACGAAAAGAAAATTTGAAAATATACATAGATACTACCACTGCGGTGGACTAGGATGTCGCAGACGGGGGGGGGGGGGGGGTTGAATATTGTTAATCATACCCAACTGTGTACATCAACATATGAACATATGCACCTAATTGTGCGTCTGTGAAGACGTACTGATGCAAGAGCAAACATCTTTACGTGCATACATTTGTACGTATGTATGTATAGTCATACATATTTACTCGAACATTTGGCCTCTATATATTTTCGCATAATTATTTGTAAATGCATGACACTATCAAATGTGATTTCTTACCTCTATGTTGGCATTGTAGTTGAAGGGTTCAGTGGCGAGAAAATGTTGCGGCAAATAGGCCCAGGCATTACTCTTTACCAGCTGTTGGAACTTTGGATAAGCACTGCCATCCAAGCGTCCGGTGGCGTTTCGCACAAAAATCACAATCGCTTTGACGTCCTGAAACAAATTGGTGAGGTCGTCCTCGCTTGCTTCGACAAGGGCGCGCGGTTGTAAAGCAACTACGCTTTGATGCCCCCAAAATAGGTACGGGCCACTTAGAATGGTGGCGCTGCAAGTCGTAACGGCTAAACTCAAGTAAAACGCTAGAAAAACGCAATGCATTATTGAATTCAAATTTGTTAAGTTTTAATGTACTGCTGCTTCACTCAATGGCCAGAGAATAATTTTTCACGAATGTTGGCTAGTGCACACTTGGAACTTGTGTTTTGTAAAAAAAATCGGTCCGTTTCCAATCGATACTAAGGGCGAATGTTTTGACGCAGGCGCAGTGCATTGGAGAAGCATAAAAATTAATAGTACATAAATACATACATACATACATATTTCCACATGAACTTAGAGAAACTTAGGGTAGATGATTGCCCACACGATTGAGGGGTGACAGAATCACAGCAAAGGAGGCGCTCTGCTTGATGTGTTGCAGAGAGAATTTATAAATAAGTTGTGTTTATTTGTTTATTGAGCGAATGGAAAAATATACAAAAACGGCAGATAGTTAATAAAATCGTGCCCACACGCACACATGACATCACATTAAAGTCCTATATTAATATAACAAATTTATTGCTGAATACTATAGGTATACATAAATAAGTTTTTTACGATCCAAAATGCGAATATGAGATAATTTGGAAAAGATGGAATGTTGGAACTGTTGGAGAAACCGCCGGTGAATGACTTAGTGCCTGAAAAGATTTTTAGCATGAGATTATTCTTAAATTTTAGTTAGATTTCAATATGAAAATGAATATATATCGTATATTTATTTTGATTATACAAAATTTGCTGAATTACTAAAATACCAAGTCTTGCACAATTGCATGTTTTCCACATGGCCGTTACGCTCAAATTGCACTCGAAAGGGATTTATGTACGCGCATTAGACCGCATCACAATAATCAGATAAAATTCTTTCAAATGTCTGCAAATATCAACGGTAATAAATAGCACGAATATAAATTCAAAACCTTTTGTTTTCGATGTATTGAAATCATTTTTAAAACCATTACAAATCGAAGCATTTGGATATCATTGCTGAAACACTTAGGGCCATTTTCCAGACCAAGTTTAAACTTAGATCACGTAAACAGCGTTTGGATTTTATTATTGAATATTACTGAACAGCTGGCTGACATTTGATTGGCTTGGCTTAGTTTAAACCAGCCAGCTCGAGCCGAAGCCATGCAATTTAGTTCGAAATCGATTGGAACATTTAACATTTTTTTTCTGTCCACATATCTGATACGGTCTAATGTACATTCAGGTTCTACTAGTATTTCGGTTTACTTACGTTTCTCATTCGGATCTCTTACACCACAAGTTCTGTATGAAATTGTGGCCTTTCTCTTAGCATTCACGTACCCTGGAATGAATAGACTGGGAGCATCCAGACGTCCGGCGGCTATAAGTCGTGACATGTCCTATGGAAAGAGTGAGCAAACATTATAGAACTGTTTTTGCAATAACTTAATAGTTAATAGTTTCAAATATTGATCTCTCATGAAGAGCCTTTAATGTAAAGAAATCTGGCTGTCTAGCATTGGAAGGAACAAATTTAGGTACATGCAAATGTATGTACACTACCAATACTTACAGATTCCCCTAAATTCCGAAAAAACTAAGTTATACCTAATTTCGAATCAGTGGCGGATCCAGCGGGGGGTTTTGGGGGTTAAACTACGTGTCAGTCAGTGGCGGACCCACGGGGGAGGGGGAGAGGGCGTTTTAATACATAGACGTCATATTATGCATACGTATGCGTCATATTAAAACACCCCCCGTGGGTCCGCCACTGACTGACACGTAGTTTAACCCTTAAAACCCCCCCGCTGGATCCACCACTGTTTCAAATGAATAGTAGATTACCAGTTCTAAACGATGTGCCAGGGGCCCTTTGAAATGTATTATCATTTGTATGCAAGCGCCGCCATGCAACTCCTTGGTTTTACGCGCATCCACGTCCAACATCCATTCTGGTATACCCATCACGGAACGCAGTTCTTCCAGAAACTGCGCTCTGAAGAGAAACATGCAACATAGATAGACATTAGGAAAGATCAGACAAATTAAAAATTCTGTACAAACGGGACGTACACAACAAATCTTGGTGGTTTCTGCAAATTAACATATTTGAAAACATTATGATCTGGCTCAATGTTAGCACAGGCAAAACGCTCCGAAGAATGATCAGGGCCAAAGATCACAATAGAACGGCCTATTGCTCCCACAGGGCGTTCGAGCGGAAAGTTAGAGTCTGTAAGAACGACTCGTTCAACACCTAGGTCTACAACAACCGAGGGAGGGATAGAGAGAGAGGGAGTTATGTGACGAAATGTGGTAAGTAGCATTAGGTATTTTAAGATCATATGTACTTATGGTTCCAAGTCGCGCGCCCACATCGCCTACATAACAACGTAATGGATTATCGGGACCACATTCCTGCTCGTATAAGTCACGCTATAATTTAAAAAGCATCCATTATAAGTATACGTGTCTATATCGAGGGTACTTTGGCAAAACCTCGTATCTCAAAACACTCTCAAACAATACTCTCTAACAAAAATCTCTCTATTAAATAGTAACAGAAATAATGTGTAATAACTTTTATACTGACTATTAAAGATTAAGTCATTTTTGGTTAATTAAGAATAATATATAATGAATGGTGGTAATTTAAGGACTATTTTGAACTAATTTTAAGAGATAAGAAGTAGTAGTGATTTCTGAGATACGAGGTTTTGCCAAAGTACAGTCAATATGTATATTAGCCAAGTTGTGCTCACATTAAGTGGATCTGCCAGTTGAGTGTAATACGGATTCCAAACATATCCACCGGCAACACATCGTGTAATTGTGGGTTTTACAGCTGCGTCTACCCCAACAGGATTCACATATATTTGCCAGTTATGGTTATAGGTCTGAATATAGAGAGTTCTTTACCGCTTGGCTCCAATTTATTCCATCATTTATTCTTACCATATTTCTATCGTTTTTTCCCGGATGTCGTAATTTTACCTCGACAACCGTTTCCGATTGGCTGCCGTCGATGTGTATCAGCTGTGTCATTTTGACATAACCATAAGCATAACCAGTGGGGTGGTGAAACGATGCAATGGCACGTATCTCTCGCGCTTCGCTAGGACTGTAACCACGCTCCAAAGTACTACAAGCCCAACGAGCATTTCTGCGCTTCTTATGTATCACTACTGAGCGCCCGATAACACTATTGTAACCGAAAAGTGGCAAGTTGGTATCATTGTAGGTATCTTCGAACTGGGTGACGTCATCAAGAGTCCCGAATTTGCCACTCAAATCACCCATTTCATATTGATCAGTCGTCCCTTGTCGTGGAGGGGGCGAGTTCTTTGCATTCACGTTGTAGGGGTTCCAGTGCCCATAAAGAGTAGTATCTTCGCAGGGAAATTCAAGATTCGCTTCAACCGGTGCCTAAGAAATTTCCCGAAGTGACTTGGCTTATTATAACTTCAATTACATTTCTCAGATTTTAAGTACTTACCATATGTATGTGATAACCGCTAGTTTCTTTTAGGCCCTTTAACTGGACCTCGATATTGCTGATGTCATATTCCGACTGCTGTGTGATCTCAAGACGTCCGCTTACAGTCAACTCATCACCATTGGCATACCAATCTTTTGCCACTACTTTGCGCCGAAAATGCCCGATGATGCTACATTATTCAAAACACATTGAAACCCTTTCAACCCAAAGAAACCAAGTTTTCACTTACGTTGAACATGCAAGCCGTTCGCCCCGTGCCTTTGGACCAAAGTCGTCATAGATTACTAATGATTTGCCGAGAATGCTATGTCGCCCAGACAATGGTAAATTTGTATCGGTGAACATAAGTCGGCTTAAGCGCTCCGCATTTTTCTTTCTTCCTGCTATTGTCAAAGCTCCCACGCGTGAGTCCAAGGCTCCCACACGACACATGGCCGGTAGATGCGGCTTACATAAATCGTCAACTGAACGATTTCCCCACTGAACTTTGTGTGGATTATATACGTTTCCTGCAGAGAGACAACGGTTCTGCCAATCGTAAAAATCTTTGCCAGGTGCATTAGTATGTATGGCCCAGCGATGCTCAAAGGTGTTATTTTGTGTGGATCCATCGGCGTGTATAAGGTATTCGAATATAACTGAGGTGTCCTGCCATGGCTCTTCCGCCGGTTGCCGGAAGATAACTCTGCCCACCACGGGATAGCGCAGCAATACTTGTGCCGTAACCATTGGTTTCTGATAGATACCGTTCTTTCGATATTGTGTTATTGTCGAACAACTCCAAGGTGCTTCAGTGATGTTGTCAACATTGGTGCGATTGTACGTGAAGATGACCATACCGCGATGCGCGATGCTGTTAAGACCCTGTAACGGTAAAAATGTGTCCCAGTAGAGACCACTTAGTTCTGAACTAACGCCTGGCAGAAGGTAATTGTGATAGTAGTCCTTATTGCGGCTCTGTAACTTTCCACTTAAATCGCCAATGGGGTATTGATCTTGGGTACCAAATCCCGGCGGTGGTATAACTTCCTTGCCGAGAGCACGTGGATTAAAAATATTTCCGGTAGACTCACAATAATCGGGCGAACCTTTACGATGCGGGATGGTTGGAAGAGAATGTACCCGAAATGCGGAGACGTCCTCAGCGAATTTTCGGTTTACAAAACGTGCTTGTTTACCAGCTGACTCGATTGTAAAATTGAGAAAGGTAGGATCGAAACGGGAACGTTGAGTAAAAGTTATTTCTCCTTTAATGCCGCCAGAGTTCAAAAAGGTTCTTGGAAGAAAGAAAATAAGGAATGACAATTAGGGTTTGGAACCTAAAAGCAAGTTATGTCCGCAATTCCTACTTGTATGTCAACTGCTGCACATGACGAATTTGTGTACATGCCAGGAAATTGTCTGGATGTTGATCATCGAATAGCACCAAGTACAGCGTCCGATGGGGTATCGATAAATCAGAGGGCAGTAAAACAAATTTATCATCTCTATATGTAGCGCGCTGCGGAGAGATCAACGCATTCTTTGCGACGTTGATCTTTCCCAATCTGGCGTCGAGATCACCAATACCCTTGTTCTCACCGTAGCCTTGAGGATCGAAAACTAGCTGCAGGAAATTGCAGTTGTCTTCGGTGCGATGATGATCGTTTTTAAATATATCCGTTACAAAAATTTTCCAGCTATGACGTGTCATCGGCTTGCTGGAGTGGTCATCAGAAGTTTCGGCTTGTATATGATAGAGATCAGAATATATGAGTGTATCTCCACCCGCACCTTCTGATGGTGCTAACCAACGAAAATGTACAGAGCCGGCGATTGGCGTGTTGAAACGGGCCTCTGCCATATGCTCCACTGACATCTGGATCGTGGTAATCGTGGCGCAGATGCGGACATCCGTATTTGCCTCCGTAAGAACGAGAGATTTCCCCCAAATTCCCAAATCGCCTGAGGTAATCAAAGAATATTATAGGGTCTCAATGCAACAGGGTTCGTATTTTCACATACGTACATGCGCGGCACATCCTAAAATTTTACGCTCACACACGTTTGCTGTGCATATAAAAAATTAAAAACTTGCTCACATCACATGTGTGTGCCGTTTGGTAAAAAGTACAGGCACATGTCGTCGTCTGGGTAAAAGATTGTCGTATGTTAATTTCGGTAGGTTGTGGGAAATCGCGATTGAAGTTTGGAATGCAATTTCTCAAAAAGGCGAATATACATTTTCTCCAAAGTCTCTGAAAATGTTACTAGTTCACCAAATTCTGACATTATTTAATTTTTAATGTTTATTGCTAATTAGTTTTAAGTTTTTAAAGGATTTTCTTTAGTAAAATTTTGTCGTAAGCGTCATTTGTCCACAATTTTCAGCCACTTTGTATGAAATACGACAAAATGTGATCAAAATTTCTACTAAATTAACGACACTTTTTGTTATTACCTCGCTTCTACTAGCTCGGGATGTAACTATGTAATATTGATGCGCCTAAAAGATGCTGCGATTTCAATTCTCAATTACATGCCTGATGACAGTACGAATTTAAATTGCTTTAAACTTCCGCTCTTAAAACTTCCACTTGTACTGTAACCAGGTTACTTTAATAGCGAGGTTTTAGTTTTTTAAACTATAATTTTTTTTTTACTCAATATCTCGGAAACTAAAGGAGATATCCAAAAAAGGAGAACGCCATTTCTAAGATATTGACTATGTAGTTTAATATGACTGCATCCCCATCTAAATTTTTACTAAATTATCGAAAAAATTGTAGTCAATATCTCGGAAACTAAAGTAGATATCTAAAAACTGATAACACCAATCGCAAGACCTTATTTCAATATATATATAACTGCATCTAAAACTAAAAATCGTCAAAATGGCGCTTACGACAATCTTTTACCCAGGCGACGATGTGTGTACTTTATATTTATTTATGTAAAGCATACGCACACGCATGATAAAAACATAGCAAGGTAGAACCGTTCTCTCAATTTATCTGCCATGATTTTTTTTTGAAGTTTGCCAACATTTTAAAATCATATAAAAGTGAAAATAATAAATTGAAATTGTTCGAAATTGTTGTTGCTTGAGATTGAAAATGAAAATGTGTGTGTGAGTTTGTGAGTAAATATAAAAATTAAGTTGTTTGGAAACGTCAAGAATTTTAAAAGTGACTCTCAGCGGTTCTACCTTACTATATTTTTATCATGCGCACACGCAAGGTACATTGAACAGGTAGTATCAGTAGAGCAGCTGATTTAATTTATTTTCAAATTATTTGGTCTCGAAAATGTCAAATATTTTTAATTTTTTCTCACAAAATTTCTGAATTTTTAAAATCCATTTGCATGTGAAACCTTTTTCCATACAAAACAAGCGATTGAATAGCAGCTTTTGGAACGTTCGCCCAACTCAGCAGCACGACCGCTGATTACTGGGCCTTGCAAAGGATGGATCAATGCTTCGAGAAGCAAACAAATTTACTAGGAAAGAAAGTTGCATCAATTTTTATTTTTTCCAATTTCAATTTTTTATTTTTTATAATTTTTTGTATTTCACATGGCACGCTTTGATTTAGTAGAAAAAATTCAGAACAGTTTTTGACACTTTCGATACCAGAAGCAACAACAAAATACACGCAAATGTTGTTTTTGCTCTACTGATACTACCTGTTTAATGTGCCTTGCGCACACGTGTGTTCTTTGCGTAGAGAAACTCATTTACTTCGAATTCTAACTCAAATCTTAAAATAGTTTTTAATATGTTTTCTGTCATATAAAACACAAACAACATATCAATTTTTATTGAATTTTTTTTTTATAAAAAATACCGTTTTATAAAAAATACCGTTTTATAAAAAATACCGTTTTATAAAAAAAATGTATTTTCAAAATATATTAAGTGCATGTGCAGAAATTTGTACGAAAATCTCCACAAACACATGTGCATGCGCTTAATAACAAACAGCACACACTTTTCTATGAAGAGAGTTGGTTTTCCACCATGATTAAATTATTAAACGTTTTGTAAGCCAGCAAACATTTGTAGTCATAAATGAGTCTATAAGGAGTCCTATTTCGGAGGCATTACGCTCATAATGAACTCATTTAAGAGTCCGATATGAGGGTGTTTCGCTTCCTCCGAAGGTCGGCTTCTATGAGCTTAAATTCATACATCAAATTAGCCTCAATATCAGTCATATTGGACTGTTGTTGGCCTCATACACGGCTCATTTTGGACTCTTAAAAGAATTTTTGGCCACATATATGAATCATTTCAAACTCTTTTTGAGGCTCTTATCGGCCTCATAAATACTATGTTCATACGGACTTTTATTTTAGGTTGTTCTTTAAGTCTTATTGAACGCACTATATTTGCAAAGGCATTTAGCAAAATTTCCTTTCAAGTAACATACATACATACTTACATAAGTGCATATACACATTGCAAGATGCGTTAAATAGCAGCAGCTGCAGCTAAAGTTTGCTCATTTTTTGTTTTCTAATTAATTTAAATTTCTGTATAAACGAGTTTAGATATACATTTCAAATCTTTATTGTTTTTTATTGGCACAAGATGCTGGCTCATATCTTGGACCATATATGAATCCTAAAAGGTTTTCTTACCTACCTAGGACTCCTTTCGGCCTCATATACCCTGAACGCTCAAAATATGTTTGCGGGGAAGTAGCTTTTTTCTAAAATTTGACACTCCCACCCGGTGATTTTGTTTGAAAGCAGGAGAAAAAGGTGAAGAATTCAATCACCTTTCAAAAAGTAGCGAAGTTCCACCAAAAGTTGTTCACAATAGTTCATGGTAATATTTGCTTTAATTATTTAATTAAAACCAGCTTATTTACCGCGAATATAAATTAGTTTTTCTCTCTGACGTCAGGATTTTTGTAAAGGGACTTTGAATTTAACATAAATATGATTATTAAAAAAATTATTTAAAAAATTCGGTAAGGGTACCATTTAAAAGGAAATTTTCTGTAGAATTACAACAGAATAAATTTTTTGGTGCATAACGACGAATGGGTATGGAATAGTCCTTTACAAATTTTGTGCTTAAATATATTCTTGAAAATTTGCAATATCTTTTTTTTATTATTGTTTGAGGACTAACATTCGCACGACCTCATCGCCGAATTTCGTCCTGCAAACTTTATTAACTTAAAATATAAATTTTTTTAATCTCATTTTAATTACTTACTCGTCCTTGTAAACCAAAAAAAAAATTATTGTTTTTAAATTCTACAGAATTTTCTCTCGCATATTGTTACTCTACATTGCACTGCTTTTTTTAAATAATTTCTTGAATTAATCATATCTTTAAAATTTCAAAGTTTCTTGAAAAAAAATCCTGACGACAGAGTGAAAAACTAAAAACGCAGTTTTCCTATATTTGGCCCATAGTTTCGTGACTATTACCTTGTTTATAGCGACACATAAAGCGCTTTGACCAAGTTCGCTGTGATTCAAAATGGATGCATAAACCAACTTTCAATACGCTCAGAAATTCGAAAGTGTATTGACTCGAATTTGTTTTCAAAACTTTGTCGGTTCGGTTCAGCGGTTCGAACCGTTTTTGCACTTTTGGATTGGTTCGTCAAAGCGGTTTTTTTTTGGTTTTTGAACCGGGGTTTCGGTTCGGTTCAACGGTTCGAAAAACAAACAAGTAATAAAGTCTAAGTTCGGGCGGAGCCGAACATTAAATACTCGTCGCAAGTATTAAATATATGATTTTCACCTTTCCGAAAGCCACCACAACATGGTAAGCCGGGGTGTATCAATTTTGAGTAATTTAGCGTCCTTAAATTTCGAAATATTGACGTTTCAAGCATTTCTGAAATTTACCGTTATATGAAAAGCGGCCTCAATTTTAGTCTGATTTCAATAATTTTCAACGTTTTGCTTTTATTTGGCAAGCACAATAGCCATACCGAGTTTGGTATAAATTGGTAGACCGGTTACCGGTATATGTGATCATAAGTGGGCGGTGCCACGCGCGTTTTCCAAAGTTTTATCATAAACGTATTTCTTCTGTCTTTCTGTCACATGGTAGGTATTACCATGTTTAACAAAAAGAAAAAAAGTGGGTACATTTATCTATTAAAACATGGTTGAAACGAACCTTTAAACCTTTATGGAAAGTGGTTCGGTTTTCGGTTCGGATCAAAAATTTGTGGAAAATTTCGGTTCGGTTAATGGTTCAGTTAATTAATTGAAAAAAACGGTTTTCCGGTTCAAAACCGGTTCGGTTCAAAACCGGTTCACGTCCCTGGTTCATCAAACATTGGCTAAGACAGTCGCGATTGGCGATCTGTGCTGGTCGAACTCAGGAATAATGTAAAGGGAACGCAGGTACTGAACGATTGCGACTGGAACGCGATCTACACCGTCAAATGACAAGTTCCGTAAGTGGGCAATTACAACATCGCACCAGTGACTAAGCCGAGCCCATGGATACGGTTTGCCAATTTTATATTGCGTCAAAGTCTCATTCGGAGACACCAGGATTCTGTTGTGTAGGTCAGAGCCTAAATTCTTCCGTGGACTGTATAGCGACTGGCAGAATAAATAGGTCTCCACGAATGTCGACAATTTTTTATTATTATTATGTTATTGAATTTCTGTAGGCCAACCATTCTCACACATTTTGTCTTGTTGCCACCAGTGAATGAAAAACAAATATTTCTTCAAATTGTAGAAGGTAAAAATTTCACTACTAAAAATTTAAAAATGTTCTTAAAACTGGCAAAGAAATTTGGACAAAAAAATATCACTGTTTTTGTTTTTGGGAGCAAGGCGGGAGTGTCATTGATAAAATTAGAGTGAGGGAAAGTTTTTTTTACAAAACATTAGATTACATTATTGAATCATGTTGAATGTGTTACTGGCGTGTGCGTGAGCAGAGTATGTGCGTAGAAAGACGAACCCTGCTATGCAATAGTAGATACATATGTATGTATGTCAGTAAATCTCTCTCACCTATTAACATCATTTCCCGGTGCCATGTGGCAGTTTCATTTCCGGGTAAGACCAGATAATCGAGACTCTCATCGAAACTCAACACTTGGGCACCCAACTTTTCCAAACTGCAGCGCGACTCCGGGTCGATATCGCTATAATCCACCGGAAACTTTCTTACGCCCCAACTCCACACTTGTTCCGGATACTGAAGTGTGGTTTCTAGCTTGGCTTTTATTTCCACAGTTGTTGCATTGACTTGGCGAAAAGTGATCTCACCATGGAGACCATGTTGAGAAATGTACGCTATAAGTTGTTGCGCGCTGACTATTTACGAATGACGGATGAAAACAATAACACAATAAAAGAGAATGGTAAATATGGAAAGAAGTCAATAATAACAAAACTGAAAAAAGAAAGTTGCAATATTATGGCGAATGATGTCGTTTTTAAAATTGTATACAAATGTATGTACATACATACGTTGTATGTACTCGTAAATTTGTACATTTGTTAGCGAAACTTGTATGCATTTTTTTAAAGGCAGCTTTCGTCGATTGTTGCTCAAACCCTGCAAACTGGTTCACTTACCAACGTTTTGTGATAAAATAAAAGCTGCGATGACTAATAAAACCGAATACTTCACATTGTTTCTCAGGCTGCTCATTTTGATGTTTGGTATCGCAACGAATTATTTGTGTAACATTAGTGGAGTTTAAAAGAAATCAATGCTCCGTAATTTGTTAATCAGTTGAAAAATCAGTCGTACTTTTTTAATTCACATCGCGGCGTATTTTTTGTATATACTACAATTGGTGCGTCACAAAGCGGCGCTTCAACGTTTCTCGCCTAACTAAATCTGGTTTTCTTCATCAAACCCATCGAAGGCCTGCAACAGTCGTCTTAACAGCGCACATACGAGTAAGTGAGTGAGTTGGTGGCAAAGAAACTTGACCAAATGGTGCGGTGAGAGAGGAACTAATTGCGACTGCACTTCAGTTAAAGCTTACAAACGTTTTACCGGCTCGGAACTGGTTTTAAACACATCAGCTGATTTATTTACGCAGCTAAATATGTGGTCAGCTGGTAAATTCCAATGTTCTTTCCCACTTTTATTTAACACATTGGGCTGCACCGCTGTTCCAACAGCCGACTATATTTAACAGTTTAATTGTATGCGCTTGAGTCCCAGCTCAGAAATGTGTTCTGCGCTAAATTTAGTTTTTTGCAGCAAGGGCCGGCCATTGTTAAACTTTCACCTTTCGCAGCAGAACCGCGTATCTATGTAATTTTTTTGCGAAAACTATCAGAGCCACTTACACAAACAGTTTAAGCGTCATCCTACTACACTATGTTGGCTCGCTATTGCGTAAAACGAAATGCAAGTGATAGGTTTAGATTTCAATAATACTACGTTAAGGGCTTTTTTCGAGCTCAAATAAGGAAGATATTTTTAATTTAATTTCCTTGTGCAAAATTTGTTGTTAATTAGGTTTGAAAAATGCTCATATACGGGTTTTTGATACGAGAAATTCATTCTTGAAGTTTGTTTATTATTATCTTTGCGCTAGATGGCGCTTTAGGTCAATTTTATTTAATTTAATTGACTTGATATATACATTTTTTTCAAATAAATGATCAAATTAGAAGTGATTATCAAAGAATTTAGCCGTGATGTGATTTCATACACCGTAATTAGTACTCTCTTTGTTTCATTCTTTTGTCTACTTTTTCCTCAAACTTTCCCGCTCTTTTGCTTTTTATTTTGAATTTCAATATCATCGTCATCGTAATACATAAATAAATTGCTCACGGTGTCCTTGAGCCAAATTCAACTGAGTCGGTCTGGAACGATGGAATTTCCGATTAGACTATTTTGGGGTGGTGTTCCAGAGTTAGAATACGTGAAGTTCAAAATCGCGGCAAGTGCCAGTAATTTTTCCTATTTTCAGGTTTTCGATAAGGTTCTCGATGAATGATTATATACACGTGTTGTATAAATGTTGTCATCGTAATGATTTTCTCATGGTTAATCAACCATTCAAAGAGATTCGTGGTTATTTACAACAGGGGCAAATCAGAAATTAATAGAAGACGAATAGCTTGCATACAGCCCATCTGAGCTTAAAGGAATGCATTTGACTAAAACAATAAAAACTATTTCACGCATTCACTTGATAAAAAAAAGACATTCTCCACATACCATGAAAATAATTGGTATTTTTCAAAAGGACTGAATAAGGATGTAGTGATAACGTTGGAAATTCGTTTAAATATTAAACAAAAAAATTAGGGTTAGAGGGGGGCCCGTCCCATATTTAATACCGGTCCCGGACGATAATACAAGTCTATATCTATTATAAGAAAATCTCGTGTCACGGTGTTTGTGGTCGAACTCCTCCTAAACGGCTCCACCGATCTTTATGAAATATTTTGTGTATATATGGTAGGTATAAGAATCTGATGTAAAGTATATTTCATACCGCTAGGTGCTGGGGGCGTGGCACCTCCCATACAAATCGAATTTTTCATATTGCATATCTCTGAAAGGGTTCATGTAGAGTACTCGAACATGGTATGGAGGTATATGAAATCAATCCCATACTGTTAGAGAAAAATTGGGGCTATTTGATAAAGGGGCGTGCCGCCTTCCAAATACACTGAAACTATTACGTATCTTTGTATGCATATACACTTTTGCTGGGTTATTTAAGATGGCAATGGAAATATGCCTTCTGACAACCACCAAACCGTAATATTAGAAGATAAATGCGTCACTGGAAAACATGACGGCGAAAATGTTGGACCAAAATGTTTCAATACAAAAAAAATTTCTTTTGGGCGGGACGAAGTTCGGCGGGTCTGCTGGTTATTAAATGAAAAAAAAACTAACTAATGAAAGAACACCAATAAAGCAATAAGTGTTTATAGTTAATTTTATTGAAACCAGATAAAAGTTGGCCGTTATAAGTCGACCAAAAGTTGGCTATTGTGGCAGACGACTACGAAATTCCCCACAGGCTGCACATGTATATACATATCGAGCCCTAACCGCCAAAATAACGTAAGCGACATTTTTTCAAAATTTTGTTTTTGATGCAGAAATGCATCAAGATGCTCTAGGAATATTTCTGCATCAAAAAGAAAATTTTGAAAAAATATCGCTTACGTTATTTTGGCGGTTAGGGCTCGATATTTAAAAAATTACTCATATAGTCTTATTTATACTATACTTAAATGCTTAAAAGCTACCGTTTTTGAAATCGGCACTTGCCACTATTTTGAACTTCACGTATTTTAACTCGGGAACACCCCGAAACCTTTAGAACTGCCAAATAGCAAAATTACACTCTCAATCGAGAGTAATAAAATAATAATGGCGATGATTTTGATGATCGCAATCAAAAGAAAAGAAGAAATAAAGTTGAAAAAAGTACACAAGCAAATAGAACAAAATGCAATAAATAAATTAATTTGTAAATTTCACATCGCGACTGAACTTTTTTCAATGGAGACCTCAAATTTTAAATTTATTTGAAAAAAAAAAATGAAATTCAATAAGTTTCCTCGATTCAAAAACCATAACCAGGGATTTCGGGATTTACAGGTTCGTACATTTGTAAATTTTCATTCTTACCGAATGGAGTTGTTATGGAAAGTTGTTATTTAGATGAACTCGTTATTTCTAGACAACACCACTCTGTGACTACCAAAATATATAAATCTGTACAAATATAAAAATCGTGTGATCTCTTTTTAAGAATATTTTTCAAGAACTTATCCTAATTAAGCAATAAATTGTATGCAAGGATTCAATTAAGGATATCTCCCTTATTTGAGCTAAACTCGAAAAAACTATTGACGTAGTATTATTGACACCTAAAACTATCACTTGCATTTTGTTTTAATCTACACCGATTTGAGCTGTCGCATAATGCTATTTGAAAATAAAATAAATACTGCCTGTATTGCAGATACGAGGTTAACGCAGAAACAGGATGATAAGCATGCCGACTGTTGGGTATGTACACCCACGGGTGAATATTTTCTGCAAACAGCCGCGAATTTGTTGGTATTCTCTTTGCTTATTCTTAACAGGGCCTCGTTTCTAAATGAGTCGTAGGTTTTCCAGATCAATCTGGTAATCATATTCAACTCCTGTCCAGATCCACCTCTGTCTAGCTCTTGAGCGGTAAATTTCGGTAACTCTGTTTTCGATTTCCCTGAGCGAGGCGTTCATGTCTACTTCCAGAGCCGCACCTTGCGGGTTATCTAGCTAGCTATCCAATTCCCTTATATGCCCCTGTGCCCTGAGCCCTGGGACCCTAATCAGAGTGATTCCGAATTCATAAAAAATTAATACCAACTCTCTTCTTCAGTCATCCACTGGTTGCGACCTAAAGGTGTACGAGAAGAGTGCCGTCCGGTTATTACCGATTATGCTGCTTTATGTACCTTACCGCCTCCTTAGTTGCAAACGGTTCAGCCTGAAAAGAGTTGCTTGGCCTAGCAAGCGAAAGTATAGCTTAAGCTTACGGCAGTGCCCTCCAATCGTGTCACGGCGGCCTGGAAATGGTTTGAGGGAGGGCCAGCTGAATTTTCGAAAAAATGAAATCTTTTAGCATTATATCGAGCAGACCTTTTAGAGTTTCCATTGGACAGGATTTGATTGCACCCATTTGGCCAACAGAAGCTGAATTCTTAGCAATGCGTAACAATGGGCCTTATGCATAAAAAGTGAGCTTAAGCTCAGACTCAATTTTTGCACTGAAAGAGTGAGCTCAAGCTCAAGAATTTGTACTGAAAAACGAGTCGGAGCTTAAGCTCACTTTTTATGCATGAGGCCCAATATTTTGGGTCACCAATGCCTTGCTTATTCGCCCTTCAACTAAGCTGGGGGTACAAAACAACTTTATGATATTTCCTTCTAAGTCAGATCCAATTCTTAACTTTGATTTAGTAAAATTTTGTCTTATTTGTAAAGAGAGTTTCCTACACAGTTCTGCCAGTTCTGTGGTTAGCAGTGCGGGCTCAGGGCTGCCAGACGTTTAGGGTCTAAAATCCGTACTCGGAGAAAAAGTGGTGGGAGAAAAATTTGTACAATTTGTCCGTATGCTTAAATTAACAAAAAAAAATATTTTGTACTTAGGTGAACACAGGAATCGTACTTTTAATAACATCAAATGAAGAAACACATATTACCACTAGTAGGCGGATACAACCGCAATTGTCAACAGACTACAAAGCCGCAACAAAGTCCTCAAGTCGCTAGCCGGCAGCAACTGGGACAAAGACAAAGAAACTTTGCGGGCAACGTACAAGGCAATTGGCCGGCCGGTTCTGAACTATGCAGCGCCCGTGTGGCGACCGGAGACTAGTAAGACGGAGTGGATGAAGCTACAGACTTGCCAAAACACGGCACTGAAGACAGCGACAGGATGCCCTCTGATGTCGCCGCAACACCACCTGCACGACGAAGCACACATGCTCACCCTTAAGGAGCATAACACAATGCTATACAGGCAGTTTTTAGTTGGGAGCCACGGACGTGGTCACCCTAACAGACAACTCCTTGTAGTAGACGAAGTCTAGAGGTTCATCAAACAACATCTGAACCCGACAGCTTATCAACAGGCCTTGAATGGCATTCATAAAGAGGCAGTCTCGAGTTATGTAGACTCTCTACCTGTGAATGCCGTTTTGGGCACACAACCACCAGACGTGGACGAGACAGAACTTCGTCTGCCTCGGGAGACTCGGACAACAATAGCCTAACTGCGCTCTGGTTACTGCTGCAGAAGGGCTGCCAACTATCCTTAGTTATGAGGTGCCATATTGAGGATAAGAAAGTTCGAAAATGTGCCAAATACAAAAATAAAAGTGCCAAGAATGGTTCCGTCATTTTTAATCCTTCCCATTTAGAAATAAAATAACCACATTTCTAAAACAAAAGTGCAATGCCAAAATAAGATAAACCAGTTGAATAATCTTTAGAAATATTGAAATATATTATATTATATTGAAATATA